AAGGGAATAGCAACCCCCTCGGCCGAAGCTTGAAAGAAGGATACCCACTCCTCACTCAAAGAAGTAAAGAGGAAGATAATAAAAGAGGGACAGCCAAAGGATCGAGCACTCGCCGGCCTCGAGCAAAATCCCCACAAATAAAAGAGGGACAGCCGAAGGACCGTGCACTCGCCGACCTCGAGCAAAATCCCCACAAATCAAAAGAGGGAAGCCGAGGACCACACACTCGCCGGCCTCGAGCGATAAAAATAAAATCCCCACAAATCAAGCCACATATTTGGCTAAGTACATATCAGGCAAATACTAGGCATTATGGACGAAGCATACACACAGACTACCCCAAGACACTTGGAAAAATTCACAAATGACATTTACTTGGCCGATGGGAGTCACAAGGAAGACGACACGAACTCAAAAGATTCGTGGGAAATATTCCCCTTAGCCGAACAAGGATCAGTGACCTTCATCGGCTACGAAAGAGGGAAACAACCACATGATCTCAACTAACACTTAGAAATATTTTAAAGCAAGGAATAACAAAAGCAACACAAGGACGAGGAGGATGAACTAGACACTAAAGCGGGGGAAAGTCAACCACATATTTTCATTCAAAATTCAAAGTACAAGAAAGGGGGGCACAACGACCATTACATATTCAGCAAAAGAATAAAAATGGATCAAGCTTCTTCCTCGCCGGCATCTTGAACGGCCTCATCACTGGCTTCATCGTCCTTGGAAGAAGCAGTGTCCACAAATCGGGGGCAGCCTCTCCTCCGCGGGAAGCTTGACCTCGTCCTCTGAATCGGGGGCATTTTCAGGGCAACGACAAACTTCTTTGTCACTTTTAGCTCAGTGAAACAATGGTGCAGCCTCCGATAGATGAGCCTTTGCATCCTTTGTTGGCCCATGTCGTAATACACCTTTATCTCCCTCTCGAAGTATTCTTGGCCTTCAGGGCTATGTTGGCCCCAATCCTCAATACTGGCCGCCACGACCTCAAAACACCAAGGTCGATGCTCCTCTTCCTTTGAGCCATCAGCCAAGAACTTTTCGACGGCGACATCAGTGGCCTTCTCAGCAGCAATCTCCGTGGCTCGTTCGACCTCGGAACTGGCCTTCTCGGCCTCAACAGCACGGCTACGGGTAGCCTCATGCGCCTCCTTCTCCTCGACGAACTTTTGGAGGGCATCATCCCTATCTGCGGTCAGCCAGCGAGTGGCCGCATCGGCATCGTCAGCTTTCTTTTTCAGGGCCTCCACATTGCCCCATAGCCGATCCAGGATACTCAAGGCCTCATCGGCCGAAGCAGCCCTCTGCTCAACTTCCCTCAGCGGGCAATCTCCTGCTCCTGCCTCTTGTGGCTCTCCATCAACATGAAGGCCGTCTACATAAAGTAATACAAGTCAGGCCGACGAGGACATAACAATAAAAGAAAGAAGGGGGGAGAAAAAGACAAAGTATGGAAAGACAACTCACCTGGACAAGATTGTCCATCCCACCGTCATAAATCCGGACGTACCCAACCCATTGAGGTACGCCCGATCCTCGTCGGGAACGGCCTAGGAAATCACCTCGTGACCTCCAACGATCTCGTTGAATACCCCGCCCTTCATGGGATACTCAACTTCAACTTTGTAGGTCGCTCGGACCAGCTCTTTGCTAGAGCGCTTCTTCCGGGAGCCTTAGGCTTCAGGGGGGAGGCTAAGAGATAGCAACAGACGAAGGGCCGGAGGTGAGGTCCACAATGGCGTCAGCATGGGATCCGCCATCGTCTCCGACTGGGACGGCCAAGGCACCGACATCAGGACCAGACGAAGGAGAAGCATTCTTGGATTTCTTGGAGGGCTGCAAACCAGCCTCCGTCAACTTCTTCTAGCCGTCATCCACCGAATGTTTCTTCTTCGGCTGAGTGCGCGGTTTCTTCGGCTGGTCGGAAGTAGGCTGGGCTCCACTGGCCGACGCCTGCTTCGCAGCCCCCTGGGCCGCAAATTACCTGGCCGCTTTCACTGCGGCCCTCTTCATGACGGATCTGCGGTCCATAACAAAGTCTGCACAACAAAAGACAATATTAACAAAGCAAGGAAATAAAGTGGGACCAAGGACGCTAGGAGGGTATTACCATCGCCTTCGGCAGGCACACCCAGATACGGACTATCAGTCTCCTCAAATTTCGTGGTCATCTTCGGCCACAGGTCATCATCATCCTCTGCATCCCCATAGATGAAGTACCTCACAAAGCCGAGAGCAGCCATCTTGTACTCTGTGATATACTTTTTCACGCTCCTCGGCCCACCTTTCAAAAACGCCTCCACTTGAGCATCCAAGATTGCGCTCTTCGGCACCTCATGGAGGTTGAACCTCCCAGTATGGTTGACTGAAGGAAACTCGGTCCCTCATTCACCCAACGATACGAAGACAAACTTACTCTTCCAGTCGTGGATGGACGCCGGGAGATCGGTGAAGGACCTCCTGTTCTTCACCTGCTGGAGGTTGGCATATCCGGCACAGTTCTGGTGGCTACCTCATCCTATTTGGTACAAGTTCATGAACAGGGTCGTCGTCGGTGCGAAGTCCAACTCGGCACAACGAAGCAGGAACCCGACGATCAAGGAGTAACTGTTCGGGGTCAGCAAGGCCAGAGGAAGATCCACCATCTCCAAATACTCCGTGATGAACTGATGAAGGCGGAACTTAAGCCCCTTCGCAAAACTCATAGGATATACCCCAAAGTATCCAGCAGGGGGATTAAGAACATGATCCGTCGGGTTGGGCACCCTAACTCTACCGAACGGCCCCACATACATTTGGGCGACCAAGTACTTACCTGCGTTGTTTTGCGGTCTGATGAGGTAAACGTTGGTAAGATCCAAATAGGAGAAGCTCGGGCCTTTCTTCGGCCGACGCCGCCTCTTTGGCGGAGCTGTCCCTTTGACGGCAGAAAAGGGATCAGGGCACGGTATGGCTGCCGATGTAGACGCTCCGTCCACCGCACGCGAGACTCCAACGTCTTCACCCTCAGATGATGAGGCGGCTTCCTCGTCCATGCTTTCCTCGTTTTCTTGCACCCCTGATTTGAAGGGGCTCAATTCCTCTATCTCCTCACAACATTCAACCACCACTCGGTAATCAAGGGACATAGCAGAAACTTCATCATCGTATGGGTAGTACTTGTCGTCCAAAGGCTTCGCCATTACAACTACTCAAGCCCTAATGGGGACTATTTGGGATCTAAGTACAGCTCTCTTACGAACACTAGATCTAACCCTTGAGATGAAAAATAAAAGGAAAAATGAAAGAACGAATGATGAACTGACCTTGAAGATTCGAAGGAACCGAAGAACACTAGAACGAGATTTCCTCTCTCTCGAAAATTGAGCAGCACTTCGTTTAGCTCAGGATGCAAATGAGAGACTTCCCTCGGAAGGGAGGGGTATTTATAGACTTCTTCCCAACGGTCAGTACACGTGGCACCCCCTAGTGGTCACATGAACGGCCACCACCCCAGGGCCCAATGAGGTGCCACCGGTTCAGAAGATGGGCCAGGCCCACTTTTCGTACTATCGAGCCCACTCCCAAGGAAAACACAACGGTACAAGGAACCAACGAGCAGCGCATACATCGACCACATTCTAACGGCCACACCAAAGCAGTCAACAGCACTTCAACGGCTTGCCCCATATCAGAACGCCACCTCGGTATCAAAAGCTTCAAGGAGAGCTGTATCGGTTATACATCTCCCCAAAAGCGTGGCCCCTTCAACGGCCACAAAATGAAAGTGGAGCACAACCCAACAACCATCGGCCCTCGTATACAACCTACTGTTAATAACCTCTTGAAAGCGACCTGCGTCCAATGGTTCTCCCACAGGGTTACCTTGGTCAGGAATCGCCAAGGAGTTGGATTCAGGGGAAATACGAGGATCCTGCTTCGGTCTCGGATTTTACTTTACTCCTTCATCCCTCGCAAATCATCAGCCTGAAGTGGTAGGGGACTGGGGGACTACATCGGCTTCAACACAAAACGCAAAGATAAGAATTGAGAACCCAAGAAACCAAGTATACAACTACAACAACATCGTATCATCTAGGCGCCATAACGTCCAGGACCCTGTGGTGCACCCTCGGCCACAACAAAGTAAACATAGGGAAGAAAAGCTCACACACCATCCAAAACATGACACATGCCGTCCCTCGACACGTGGCGTTCCAATGGCCATTGGGTCACGTGCTCCACCCTCGGCCAAAATAAGAGAACAACCCACAACATCCGCAAATCTAAAGACACACGACGTCCTATGGTCTAGGACCCTCATCGTACTCAAAGTCACGGACACTGAACTACGAGTAATGTCTCTTCGGCCTGAAGCACTATAAGCAATCACAGTGCCTCCTCGGTCAGAAGCACAGAAAGCAACCAACGACGGCCAAAGAGGTCGCATCACCCTCATGATTGAGACCACTCATCGGCTACTCACGCCAGGACAACTATCGTCCTCAATCATAAGAGCATGTACCATCCTCAGAGCAAGGACTGCCTCCGTCGACAGTAGAGGCCACACAATGGCCAAAACTGAGAATGTCCACAACGGTGCCGCATCGGCCAAAAACATCAAGGCCACGAGAATCTACTCTCTTTCACTTTGCATGCGTCTCAGCTTAGAGAGTGGTGGACTCCTGATGGAGTATATGGGTCCAGACCCCATGACCCACATACTCGGAAGAATAAGAGGCACAACTGTCACCCAGTGGGTCCTCCGTTGGCCAGATGACCCTCCATCGGCCAGGAGGATGTCAACTCAGAACATGATCCGGAGAGCCGGGTGTCTCCGTCTGCCGGGTCTTCGTCGGCCATGGCTCCGTCGGCCAGAACTTCGTTGACCACAGAGAGCTCACAGAACCGCATTTCATACGTAGTCAATTAAATACTTTGTATTCGGCCCAATAGAGGCCCCATTGTAATCGGGCCTCCCAAACCCAAGACTTGGGAGCCCAGCCCACATTTTCTCTATAAATACTTTCCTTGAGAGTAATTGTGGGGATTGACAAATTCATTTATTGCAGTATTCATTACACTTCTCTCTCTAGCTCTCACTTCTCTAAGAAGTTATACTCTATCACCTACGAACCCAATAACCTGCCACAGGAAAATCTCAACGCTCAAGTACACGTAGAACAGAAACATCGCCGCTGTCAAATATAACATCACATCCCTCACAAAGGGAGTTGGATCTACTGCAAATGGCGCCGCATAAATCGCAACGAACCCTACAACGAAAGCAGACACGAAGGTCCCGGCGGAGAGGATCGCCCCAAATCCAGTTTTCAGATGGCCTCCCCTGACAGCGGCTACGGAGGCAAACACGTCCAGGGCCCCATTCCCGAGCGCCAAAAGCGTCACCGCGCCCATAGATGGAAAGAGCCGAAGATGAGCGACGAGCTTGGTGACAACGACGGAGAAGTGGGCCTGCGCTATAGCGATGGGGATGTATAAGTAAAGAAACACGAAGAGACCAAGAAATGGGACGGAGAGGAATGGGTTGTAGCGCAAGAGGCAGGAATGGAAGGAGTAGTAGTTGAACAGTCCATCGGATTCGTCACTGAAAAATCTGCAGGAGGGTTGGGAGGAATTGAGAAGTGACCTATGACTGGATGAAACGCGGTTCGAGGAATAGGCAGGCTGGCAGAGGATGAAGAAGATGACGGTGGCGACGAGGAACACTGAGATCGCGACGGTTCTTGGAGCAGCGGCGAAGTTGAAGGCCATGCCATACCAACAAAAACTAGAGCAGTTAAATTAATCAACCAAAGTGGACTTTTCTTGTGCGGATCTACTTCCACATTCTCATATCTTTGAATAATTAGTTACTCCTCTTAACATATACTATCTCCCTCCCTTAAAACTTTGCCAAAATTGACCGACACGGAGAATAATAAAGTAAAAATTGTGTGGTTAAGATTTGTGCAGAGAAGAGAGAAATAATAGAAACCACAAAATAATTTATTAAAAGGGAAAGTGACAAAGTTTTTTGGAACGTCCCAAAAAGAAAAGATGACAAAGTTTTAAGGGACGGAGGGAGTAAGGAACTTCCAAAATAATTTACCTACACATTTTGTAAGCATCAAGTTAAGGACAATTATTCTACACTGAGTATGTAATTAGTTCATAAATAAATTGTCTTTAGGTAGATATTCATTGTCTCTAAATTTATCACATAGATAAATGGCGGATCAAGAACTTTCGATAGGAAGGGCGGCAGTTTAAAGAATACATGCTTATTTATATTATCTACGTTCCTTAAATTTCTCTCATCTTTCCTTTTTGAGTTGTCACTGTCATTTTCAATCAACTAATTTTTAGTTCCTCTTATTTTTATCTTCTTCCCACAATTTCTCAACAACACAGTTTTTACTTTATTATAATTTGTTTTTATCAAATTTGACAAAATTTTAAGGGATGAGGAGAATATATATTAAAATTTTGAAGTAACTATACCTAGTGAGGGAAATCTGGGACGGCCCGCGGCCCCCGTTGCCCCTTTTGTGTCTATCGTTGTACCATAAGTCTGATACACAAGTGCATGAGATTGAATACATCAAACTCCTTCGTGATATAGAAATTCAATACATTAGCACTTGTTAATTAAGTTAAAAGTGCATCCAATTGCTTGTGTTATAACTATTCATGCGCAACACCCTTTTATGAATAAATTTAACAATTTAGGGTTCACTTTTTCTTAATATTATGATTGGATATGCTCATATGCAAGTAAATCACTAAGTTATACAAAAATGCTAATCATTTTCTATTATTTAACAATATATTTGTTTATAGAAGGGATTCTACACGTGAATGATTATAATACACGGGGTGTAACGCATTTTTAAATCATATGACTTATACGTTCAATTTCTGTATCAGAAGCAGATGTAGTGCACTAAAGCGTTGATGTGTGTACTCTATTGATGTGCCTATTGTGTACTTATGGAAATCAGTGTGTGTGTGTGTGTCATTGATTGACATTTGTTTATCTACGTTTATGTGCCCAAGGGATGCGATATACATGGATGTTTGGATCTACTTTTAAAATTGTTTTCTCACTTTTGGGGAGCAGAAATATACGTAGTATGTTGAAGTGTTTGGGTGAAAGTGCAGAATTTTTTTTGAATGCTCCAAATTGCTCATAAAAACAATTTTTTGGAAGACGAGAGAAACCAGTTTCTAAAAACTAATTCTGCTTCCGCATTTAAAAAAGAAGCAGAATCAATTCCTTAATTTGTTTCAAACTCGGTAATTCTTTTTCTTATTTGTTCTAATTGCTTTTGTAGAAATTAAGAGTGTTCCTTAATTTGTTTCATACTCGGTGTTAAGATGATGGTTTTTGAGTATTTAGATTGGTGATTGTTTACGTGATAATATATTGTTTAGTTAAAAAAATCATGTTGACAATTGACAAATCTAGTCCATAAGTGGCTAAAAGTCAATATGCTTGGTTCCGATTCTTTTGCAATGTATATACTCACTGTGCATTTTTTTTTTTGTATTTTCACTCATCGAACTATTTTTAACTACTTGCCTACAGTTTGTTTAAAAAGAAGTAGAAGTAAGATATGATTCATAACATCCTCTGAGAGACTGAGACCCTATATTATTTGATTTTTTTTTATCATTTTCTCTCATTTCTCATTAATAAAAACAATATACGATTTACTATATTTCTCTCTTTTAAATTATCTCAACCACAGATTATTTACATTCTTCAATATCGCACACTACCAACATGGACAAGAATTAAGTTTGCTACAACACTTTTATCTTAAAAGAATATGTTTCATCAAACGGCTACATTTTTTTGTTTAGAACTTTTTGTCCATTATAAAAGGAGTTACCAAAAAGTGTTTAACTAACAAATAATTTTAATCTTTTATGCCTGTTGAGTTTCAAACAAGTTAGCTCAACATGCTAACCTCAACAATTGGTCAAATTTGAAGTTAATTTTTACACTCGAGATAAACCCTTAATTAAAAGATTAATATGTTTTTAACGGTTGTTTTGTTAAATTGCACTTAACCATCCAATCCCTCTACTTCAGCCTATTTGAATTGAATCTTTGGATCAGCCAAATTTTAGTGCCAAATATATACTAGGTGTGCATTTGATATGCGTTTCATTTTTATTCAAATTTGAATTTTAATAAGAAATGGTCATGAGGGGATGCTGAATGCAAAAACAATAATAATTCACCATATTTATTCAAAAACCACTTGTTTTTTTTATTCAACTGCAAATATCATCATCAGATGATGTAAGATCAGATCCAATCCAGGGTATACAAAGAATCAGAGCTTCTGGGATCTAGAAATGCACAAGATTGCAGAAAATGACAAAATAGTATAGCAAAACATGAAGTTTTATTGGGAACAAGGTAATTACTTGAGTCATCCCACTTCACAGCCCTTTCAGCTTTTTTCTTCCGATATTTGGAAAGAGATATCCTGAAAAGTCCGCAACTAAATGACGAACCCCATTGACCACATGATAGGATATTGCTACGGGAGCTATTGCAAGAGCAAGTTGGCTGAGAGTTGATGAATAGAACAGTAATTGGTAGAATGACTTCTCCATATCAACAGAAGCTGAAGCAAAGAGTCATCAGGAGACCAGGTCATGTTATTTTTCACTCAAACGCATCACTATCATTACCTGGTGAAACTCAATATGCTTGGTTGGCAAACCAACAAATAATCCTTTCCGGTAAGATGCAACCACAGATGGGTTTACCTAAGAACATTTCAGAAGTTGATCATATTAGGGTGCTGATAATAGATGTTACAAGGGGCAGTAAATAACGTAAGGAAAAAGAAATTGTCTTGTGCTCAATATCTGAGTCCACATTTCCAGAGTAAATACCACTGCTATCATTTCTAGCGGAGTTTGAGCTGCATTAAAAAAGAAAACAAACTGTGGATGACAGAAAATTTGTTTTGTGAAAATAAAAGTGATCATAAGGAGTTCATTGAAGATACCTGAATTGGCTAGCTAGGCCAGCCCATCTAGAACCAGTAAAAGATAATGCCTGTGATGAATTGATCTTTGCAGTGAACTGCACATTGGATGTCAAATATACATTCAGTTCAAAACATTTAAATAAATCATTCATGTAATGTACACAAATTAGTCAAAGAGAAAAGGATACATTTAGGTGATGCTAAATTGTTAAAGCAATGGAGTGAAGCAAGTGGGCCTTTAACCCGCAAGACACTGTTTTTTAAACTAAATGAAAATAAGGCCAGGCCTTCTTAGTTCCACGACAAATAAAATACCTACTTTTAAAATCTAAATCTAAATTTAAAATAAATGAAAATAAGCATTTTTGCACTATGTGGGTCGCTATGTGAACCAAGCAATGTATTTCGTTCCGATTAAATACCATTTCCTCTATAAGTCACATAACTCATGAATTCTTGCCTAATTTTCATCTAATCTTAAATGAACAAAGTTCTAATATATTCCCATGGAAGTGTTAATTTGAGATTTCGTCCTCCATCATGGTGGAGACTTTAGATTTAGCCATCAACTAGTAATGGACTTTGAGGAGATTTCTAGGTTTAGCCATCAATTACTATATGAGCATGCATTTTTTGAATAAACTTTGAGGAAAGATCTGAGTTTAGTCAAAGGAGCTACCAATAGGGTATAGTCTTCGTGAAATTTAAGACTTGAATGCTAACTCCCATAATTTTCTTCACTTTTCTATTTGGATGTCCCAAAATGTTCACCACGCTTCCTTAAAAAAAGTTGTATCACCGGGATTGTTTGGAAGGGGAGCCTTGGCGCACCGGTTAAGCTATTGTTGTGTGACCAAGGTAGTCAAAGGCGTTGTGCCGCACTCGAGGCGAAAGGGGAATCCCAGTGCCTAAGGTGCAAGGCGCAAAAAAACGCTTGCCTGACTCATGTCAAGTGCAATGCTTTTAGAAAAAATAACACATACTACTCTCCTATTTGATGAAGTTTTGCCCCGTATATCCCCCCTCCCATTTGTTTCCTTTCCATAGTAGATGCAAGTTACTGCATTTTGATTTTTTTCATCAACACTGTAATTGTGTTTCCAAGCCGGGTCATTTTTTGTTGACTTAGCAGCTTCAGAAGCCATGGCTGAAGTTCCACCTTCCATGTCCTGTAAAAAATACACAAGGCAGATATTATATATAGTTATATACAGTATACTTCCATGTATGAGTTCTATATAGTATATGACAACAAGTACATGCTGAAAAATATAAAGTGAACTGGTAGTATGTAATTATGTATACATGGTAAAGAGAAATGGTAGTTTGCTAGTATGGATTGGTAGTATGTATACTTGGTAAAAAAATGGTTAAGTTGTTTAGACTGTAGAACTGACTAACTGAAACATACAAACAAGAGTTCTACAGAGCACAAGAAAGTTGTTAGTTTACTAACTGAAACATACAAAATAAGTTGTAGAACAAGAAGTTTACTGATCAACTATAATAAGTTTATTGAACAAGAACAAGAAGTTTACTGACTAACAACTGTAGAGTACAAGAAAGCTAGTTTACTTGCTGAAACATACTCCCTCCGTTCTTTTTTAGTTGCAACGGCCAACATTTCACATTTGTCAACGCACGTCTTTGATCGTAATAATATCTTAATTCTATTAGTAAAAAAATATTAAAAATCATATTTTGAAAATTTGTGATAAGATGAATTAAACAATATTTTTAAAAAAAATAATTTTCATAAAATAATAGCGTAAAATGTAGTCAAAGTAGAGCATGTGAATAGTGTAAAATTCAACATGTTGCGATTAAAACGGAACGGAGAATAGTACAAAATAAGCTGTAGAACAAGAAGTTTACTGATTAACTGAAATAAGTTTATTGAACAAGAACAAGAAGTTTATTGACTAACAATTGTAGAGTACAAGAAAACTGTTAGTTTACTAACTGAAACATGCATAATAAGCTATAGAACAAGAAGATTCCTGATTAACTGAAATAAGTTTATTGACAAGAACAAGAAGTTTACTGACTAACAGCTGTAGAAATAAGCTATATTTTTTCACATGTTTAAGTTGTTTAGACTGTAGAGCAAGAGTTTATTGCTGTACTACCATGGTAGTCATAAACTATTTCTTTACTTCTTTCTTATCTATTATTCCCTCCGTCCCTCTATAATTGTCCAATTTTTCCTTTTTTTGATGTCCCTTTATTGTTGTCCCATATCATATTTGGTAACATTTTTGTGGCTCTAATTCATTCTTACTTTATTTC